TCCGGTCTTAGTCAACGTCTCGGTCTCGGTGATCGGGATGACGGTAGTCTTGTTGCCAGAGACGACGGTCGAAGAGGTGACTAAAAACGTCAACAGAAGTTCTGTGAGGTTCAAGTCAGTGGTCATTGTTATCCTTACCTGGGCAAGACGTGGTCACGTAAGTGTAAGTCTTGGTCTCGTTCTTGACAACAGGCGGCGTCGGGACAGGCACGGGCGTAGTAGTGCTCTCCTCGCAGTAGGTCTCTGTGCGAGTAATCGTGCTGGTCTGGGTAACTGGGACAACGATGGTCGTCGAGCCGGAGGTGATCGTAGAAGAGGTGACTGTAATGACATTAGCTATGAGCTCAAGGTGATTCGTGTACATTCATATCTCACTTGGGCAAGTGGTAGTCACGTAAGTCTTGGTCTTGGTGATGGGCGGCGGCACGGTGGTCTGTCCGGTAGGCTTTGGAGGCTTAGACTCATAACTGGTTGGCTTGGGAGGAGGCGTGTAAGTGTGCTTAGGGGAGCTGGTGGTCGGCTTGGGCGGAGGAGTGTAACTGGTGGTTGGCTTGGGCGGCGGCGGCGGAGGAGGAGTGTAGGTGTGCTCAGGGGAGCTGGTGGTTGGCTTGGGCGGAGGAGGAGGAGGAGGGGGTGGAGTGTAGGTGTGCTCCGGAGTAGACACAGGAGGCGGAGGCGGAACGTAGGTGGTGGGAGGAGGAGGAGGAGGCGGCGGCTGGTATTCCCCAGGTTGGCCTCCCTCACCACGAGCCTGGACGACTCCAGCGAAGGCCGGGCTGGCCAGTGCCAGCAGAGCGATGGCAGGCTTAACCATGATGGCGGTGGTTGAGCAAAGTGCTACTGATCACAAGCTGCGAGCTGACTCCGGAGATATGGCAAAGAAACGAATGAATCCAAGCAGTATAGCGATAGACTGCCCCCTGCAAGTGATCGTGGTGATGATGGAACAAACGGTTCCTAAGCGACCAACGCTGGGTTTATATAACTTTTGATGCGGACTTTGACAACAACTGCTTCTCGCTGTGGATAAGGTAGTGAAAAGTAGTAAGAGGAGCAGTTCCAGCTTGTATCCACCGAGGAAAGTAGTCAAAGGAAGGTCTTCTGCAGCAACTCTGTCGCTGAATGCGGAATCTTCACTATTGAACCATGGACGATGAGAAGGGGCCGATGTAATATTCTAATGAGGATGTCACTGTATCAAAAAGCTCATAGGCTGGATGGGGCACAACCTGTGGTGCAAGACTGCAAGGCAACGGAGGATCCTTACGGAAGATGTGGATGTCGTCATCCAAATTGCCTGCCTGCTGGCAATATGGTTCAGGAAACCTGCGATAGCCAGCAATGGATTAGGCTGTCTTAGGCAGTTCTGAAACAGTTCCGGAAGTGGAAAAGTACATACGTCAACTTCGGGGATGAAGAACGAAACTGAGCCTTGGGCCTGGATCGGAAGGCAGGACAAAAGATTGACTCCCATCATTATGACCCGTGGTTCGCGAAATCCTACTTTCCTCAACTAGGACAGAAGATGGCTCGGGTAGCAGCTACAAGTCGGACTTGGGAGCCTATAGATATTAGCATATAACATTACAACATAACACATGATCTAGGTCCTCATCTCAACATATCGATGGAATTCAGAATATAATCGTGAAAAAAGCAAGATCCCGTTCCATAGCAAGCAGGCAAGCGGCTGTGGATGCAGCTGAAAGCTGTCCGAAAATGGACAAGAAGAACAGCTTGAGTGACGAGAGGTCTAGGGTAGATGACGACTGCCAGGAATTAAAGTTGAAAAGACTTGTTGAAATGCAACGTTGTAGCCACGTCCATTGGAGAGTGACAAGAGCGAGGAGGTATATTCCTCCATGTTAGAGCTTGGTGAGAATCATTTGGCTGAAGACGGTATACACCTGTCGCTGGCCTCGCGGAGAAAGGTCGAGACCTCCGGGAGGTTACAATGGAGGAAGAGGCGGAAGGCAGAACACAATAGGCTTGGTTCCTCAATGCTCCGCGCTGGAGCCTGGACCCAGGTACCTATTTTTTTTTCTTTTTGCTTTGTGGAGATGCCGAAGGCGCTCCGCAACAGGCAATGGCAGCCCCGAATGACGTAAACATGGACAGGTTCGCAAATGACCTGCCATATCTTCGATTATTCATGATTTTCTTAATTCAGGTCAGTGGAAGAGAATCAAAGTTCTAGTGTCGGTTCCTAGTTGGAAAAAAAAGGAAAAAAAGACAGTTTCCAAATTCAGGGACATTCAAGCATAGCCTCTCCCTTGACTTTCTACTCCGTAGTATATTTACCGAAGTATGACTTCTCAACGGATGAATAACAGCAAAGTGCATAACCGGTTTTTCTCACTGTGCTTTCTGTCTCATCGGATAGTCGCTCAACAATCTCGTTGGAAGTCATGATATCACCATCAAGTGGTGCGTTTTCTGAAAGGAAAAAAAGAACGTCTTCAGCAGGAAGTCGGAAAATCCGCTTTGCGTGGTACCAATGGCGTGTCTCAGAATTGCTTCTCTGGAATGTGGGCCAGAGTAGTATGCAGTAGCAGGACGATCTTGCCTTCTCCTGGAATGCTGACATAATAAGCAATAATGTCTCACATTATCTACTCAAATCGAGTGGGACAGAATTCGAACAGAGCTCGTTTTCATTTAATCCGGGCGCATTCGTTTTGGGCCGGTAGAGCTCATAAAGTCGATGACGAGATCATCTTGAGTGTCACGGCATTGAAAGTATGAGAGGTCATCCCAGAACGTCTTTCAAGGGAAGGCAGATTAGGGGGAAATACGAGAAAATCAGATTCCTTGCTGTTTCCACATCTCAGCTTGAGTAAGCAGAACGGTGATTCCTTAACAACCAGCAATTCATCGGCGCAATCCGGAGAAAGATGCACAATTTCTCACAGCCTCGAGTCAAGTTTGTGTGTGAAGGTAGAGGAGCGATGACATCAGGATACGCTGTACAATAGTCGTAGCTTGTCCTGGAGCAGCGCTGTAGAGGATGTTTCTTGCCCGTCTGCCGTGGCAGCCATTGTAATGTTCCAAGTTGCGCAGGAATTCCCATTTGGGCTTCCATTAATGTCACGTGATAGAATTCTCCATCCGGACGTTAGGGCTTAGGGCAAGCCAAGGCGGTGTCGCGGACGCGTCCGTCCGCGCGTCACCCACGCGTTAATGGATCAATCGAGTATTATGCGTCGTTCTATCAATCGTGAGGAGTAGCCTCAACAATCAGGTTGGCTGATCTTATATTCCATTCAGTATGCCCCATTCTGTGTCTTCCAATGACTCCCCCAAGCGGGACAGTGAGGATGAAATTCTTCCGGATGCTCCTCCAGAGTCAGGGGGAGCCAATGGAACAGAAACCGACAAGGCCGTCGTGAAACTCGAGGACCTGTTTAACGATGACGACGACGATGATGAGTTTCCAGCTTCAAGCGCCGCGGATTCTAAGACCGCAAGCTCTCCACCTGCGGCTGCGCTGTAAGAGCTCTCTGATGCGGAGTTGGCAACAGCAACTGACCCTGTCCAGCCCATCAGCGCCCCCGACTTCAGGCGTCGATACGGATACGATGCTAGCCTTTTACCAACGGCTGTTTCCCTTCCGATATATCTTTCAATGGCTCAATCACGGCATTGTGCCTTCTCCCGACTTTGGCAATCGCGAGTTCGCTCTCACTCTGCAGAATGACGCTTACCTCCGATATCAGTCATACCCAACGGCAGACCTGTAGGGTTTCCACTGCTTTCCGGATTGGCCCGAGTCATGCTAATTGGTGAATGGACAAGGTTTCGGAAAGATATTTTGAAGATGAACCCTTCCCGATTCGAAATTGGTCCGGTCTACAGTACTAATCCGCGAGATCGCAAGACGCTGCGGGGTGGCCAAATGAAACCTGTATCGAAGGAGCTTGTCTTTGATATAGACCTGACGGACTACGATGACATCCGTACCTGTTGTGAGAAAGCAAACATCTGCGCCAAATGTTGGGCGTTTGTCACGGTGGCGATCAAGGTGGTCGATACTGCGCTGCGAGAGGACTTTGGTTTCGAGCACATCATGTGGGTCTATTCTGGTCGGCGTGGTGCGCACGCCTGGGTTTGTGACCAGCGAGCGCGTCAACTCCCCGATGACCGACGAAGAGCAATCGCAAGTTATCTCGACATAGTCCGCGGTGGAGACAAGAGCGGTAAGCGGGTGAACCTGAAACGCCCACTGCACCCGCATGTTTCCCGCAGCATTGAGATCCTGAAACCATATTTTGCGCAAACGACGTTGGTAGACCAAGACACGTTTGCGTCTTCGGAGCAAGCAGAGCGCCTTCTCTCTTTGCTACCGGACAAGACGCTTGTCGAGGCGTTACGGAAGAAGTGGGAATCGGCGCCGGAGCGCTCCAGTACAAGTAAATGGACCGACATCGACGCCCTCGCAAAGACGGTGAAAGGCTTGAATCCTACGGCGCTGAGGGATGCGAAGCTCGACATTGTCCTCGAATATACGTATCCTCGGCTTGACGCCGAAGTGAGCAAGAAGATGATACATCTTCTCAAGTGCCCGTTCGTGGTGCACCCGGGCACGGGTCGCGTATGTGTTCCGATTGATGGGCGGAATCCCGAAAAATTCGACCCGCTCTCGGTACCGACGGTGACGGAACTGCTGTCTGAAATTGATGAATGGGATGCCAAACATCCCGGCGGAATTCCGGCCTCGGATGACGTCGAGGCCAGTGCAGGTACCGACACCGATGCCAAGGGAGGGCGGAAGCTGCAGGACTACGAGAAGACGCGGCTGAAGCCTCACATCGACTACTTCCGCTCCTTCATTGCTGGACTCATCAAAGACGAACGGTCCAGCAAGAGGGAGCGGGGTGAAGAGGGGACTACGACTGATGCAATGGAATTTTGAGCGAATGCAGAATCATTCTGTTTGCTGCACTGGTTGCATGATGGGTTAAGGATTGTTCATGACGATGGACTAGGCGTTTGGGAGTTCTATTCATGAGTTCTATTCTACTGTATGCTCTTGATGTAAAGCGTTATTGGGAATACGACTGGTTCTATCACTGCATGTCTAAGGGGTGTAAATCAGTCACTGTGATATTTAAAAAATCCCCTTTTCCACAAGCCAGAGATAAAACTCTGCACAACCAGCCGCCGTCTCGACAGCGTTCTTGAACACCTCCCGATCAAGCAGCTGCGGGATAGTGATGATGTTGACAAGAATAGCCTCCCAGTCAGCGACAGGCAGGGTACAAATCCCGCTATCAATATAACAAGCAGGATGTGTCCCGAACGCATAATCCATCAGCGCGTCGCAGGTGGTGATATTCCCCTGCGCAGACCCAACGATGTCATACGGCACGAGTCTCCGCTGCAAACACAGCATGGTTTGCACAATCCACGCCTGCCCGGCGGGACTCAGCTGGTTGCGATCTTCCTTAGATTTGGTGCAGTATTTGAGGCCGTAGCCGAGCGGGTAGCCTGGGGGACCGCAGTGGAAGCGCGATTCGAGACAGAGAGGGTAGAAGCTGCAGTCGTTGGGTTGGGGGTTGGTGCATTCTTCGAGTGTGCTGGTGTTGGTGTTGCGGCTGCACGGGGGTATCAACTGATCAGCTGGTTTTGTTGCTGTATGTATGTACTGTATACCTAAAGAGGTCTTGATACATACCCTGCTAAAGCTGCATTCGCATGGTCGTGGATAATAGCAGCATTGCTCAGGCCAATGATGAGCGCGAACAACGCTCCTATGAGCAGATGATGGATTGTTGTTCGTCTCATGTTTGTCTTGGATTAATTGCCTTCTGGAATTGCCTTCTCAAATGGGATCAAGGAACCGCTCAATAAAATAAATATCTATCAGTAAATATAAATTTTTTGAAGCAGAGGCAATCAATTATTTGTAGTCACACACACAAAAAAAATCCTTAAATAAAATAAATAAAGTAGAAAAAAAATTCACGATAATCTGCCGATGTAATAATAACTTGTTGATGTAACCTCAGCACGTACTAGTTCCTACATATTTCCACATAGAGAATTAGGTACCGTCGAAGAAAAAAAAAATGGCTATACCTAGGGAAGTTATCTATGGTGAGATCCTTCAAGATTAGCTCGTGACGACTGCTGCTATTGGCTCAACCAACTCATCCTGCCCTGAGCACAATCCTCACTGTGGCCCACCACAATATGCCTCATTAGGTAGGTACCTAGGGTTTCATAGGCGATCTCCCAATTGACAGCCAGACGCAATAGTTGTACATAATCTTACTCCATGGAGGTATGTATGTCTATGTATATAGTCAAGCAAAAGTGGTTCATGGCTATTCAGGAACTGGTATCTTCACTGGGTCATGCAATAATTCACCCATTAAAATAAAAATAAAATACAGTGTTAGGAAGGAGTAAGTAGATCAGGCAAGTCCTAGATCCAGCATGCTCGTTAGTAACATTGTTAGAAGGCAAAGCAAGAAAAAGAAAAGTAGTATTCTATTAATCCACTCATCAAGTCCTCAGAAAATCTGGGGAACCGTACGAGAAAAATCTTTTTTTAAAAAAAAAAGTAAGAAAAAGAAAAAAAGAATATTGATGTTGTAGCGAGAATATCGATGTATAATAACATCTTTTTTTTTCTTTTGAATCGCGGATTCTCAATCAGTAAACGACAATAATGGTATCTCGAAGCTCGAAAAAGATGGTAATTAGCCTCGTACCGGCTAGCTCGCACGCCTGCTTCGTGATGAGAATTGATCACAGTGTCGATGAGTAGCATTGTTTGTTCACTACGTACAGCGAGATGATTCACAAGACAGATAATACTTGCGCCAAAAATGCGCATATTGATGAGAAATGTATATTGGCTTCTTTTCTCTCTCCTCTTTCTTTCTTTCTTTTTTGCGAGGGCTAAACATTCTTGTTAGCTTCTTCTCTATGCCACCATCTAATAGTTCGCTAATAAATAATTCGAGTGATGTGGTGGCATAGTTGTCTCATCAACAAATATTTTCAAGGCCGATAACAGTTGATGCGATTCCATAAACTAAATAAAAGCATGGCGTTGCAACACTTCTCTGATAAAAAAAAAGGTCTGCTTGTAATATGTCCCTGATATGTGGTACTTAACGAGCTTGGTTATATATATTGAACCATAATTGACATTATCATGAAGGGAAATCTTACGACCTGCAGATCTCCCAAATGTTTAATTATCTAGGATAGGTAAGGTATCTAAGGTACCTATCTAGGTATCTACCTAGGTAGGCAACCTACATGTACTACTACTAGTCTACTACTACATACCCAGGTAGGTAAATCCTCCGACTTACCTAGGTTAAGCACCTGTAGGTAGGTAGGTAAGGTACCTACCTGCTGAGTCCTTCCTAATTGGCTAGACCATTACAAATATAGAGAATAGGTTACATAGTTATTTATTCTACGTACATTGTACAGACATACTACTACGTATAATTAACCTGCAGATCATTCGATTTTCAATTTCGGCACGTTGCATGCACTTGCACTTGCACTTACACTTTTGACTTAACACGGCAGGCAATAAATAAATATATCTATGTACTGCACTGTACATACCTAGGTAGAAAGGGAGTAATAAATAGAACAAAAATAGAATCCTGATGATCACCGCTTTTTCTCTTTTATTTTTTTCTTTTTTTAGCGAAAAAAGTACCCCGTAGGTAATAATAGGAGTAATATAGCTCGCTGGCCCCCGGGATGGAGGATTTCCTAAAAAATCCCCTTAATACCTACAAAGTACACTAGTTCTATCTAGGTACCTGATGATCCTGATCTGCAGATGGAAGTGGAAGTAAGTGAGATTTCTGCTGCTAAGATTTATGTGGATTCCTGTTATTGGGTTTTGTTATTGAGGTACGAAGTATGTACTACTCTGTACTCTGTACTGTAAACAAGGATAGTTGTAGTTGGTTGAGTTGTTTGCATTTCTCTCTCTCTGTTTTTTTTTTTCCGTTCTTAATTTTTTTTTGCAAAAATATCAGGAGTTACTATTATCTGGACTGGCTAGTCCTTCGGTCTCCGTACACAGATAGTATTCGCACTTTGGGCAGGTACTGTACCTGTACCTGTACCTGTACCTGTACAACGATGGAATACCGTGTACGACTGACTGTACGACTAGTGAAGGAATCGACCGTGTAACGTGCTCTTGTCCCTCTACCTCTACTAATGCGAGGACAACTAACTGCTGCTGGATCAGGATTTATTGTTCCATGATGCAAAGCAGAAGTACAGTGTACACTACGTTGCTTGCTGTTGACTGTCAGAATAATGCTGATCTTGTGATCAGAATAGGGATAGCTGACTAAGCTGTGCACGCATTATCCGCAAAGTGCCCGGTTTCCTCTTTGGGTTATCTGCAGTACGAGTATTTCGAGTGACACAGGCTGTGACTCCTGTCAGCCGACTCAGCTCTTGCTGAAGGTTCACCCGACTAGGGTCGACGGTTTTCCTGTGCAATTGTCTCTTTTGAGGCTCTTTTGGCGCGTGAAGGAGGCGACCCATGTCGATCGGCTTCTGGAAGCGTAGGAAGATTGCTAGATGCAGTGATAAATGGCTCGACCTGCCTGTCAGCTAATTATTTCACGCTCGTGAAATTATCGATCGTCGACTTCGTGCTCGCCCCTATCTTTGACATGGGCAAAGCGGAGGCTGACATCCCGTCCCCCGGCTGAGACGGCGCGACCACACCTGCAGCCACGTCTCGATATGCGACCCGACCCCACGACAAATCAAATAGACAGAATGATGTCTTGTTGGTCAATTAAACCTCCGTGGATTCACAAGGCGTTTTTGGTTTCCCGAACGGTCGGCCCTTGGGACTCACCCTCGCTGGAAAATACCGCTCAGCCCTGGAACTCATGACCTCGGCCTGCATGCAGCCAATTGACGACGATTCAGTCGTGACTTGGGCATGACAGAGTTAGTCGTAACTTGCTGGCCATTCACGCCAAAGAAATTAATTAACGCATGGACGCGTCTGGCTGATTAACCACGGTAACCGTCTCTGATAGCCTGACGCTGGTTGCGCCCGGTCAATCAACGAGACCATGGGCTGCTATTCGTTGAGACGCCATCGCGATCCGAGTCATCAGACGGCGTGCAGCGTGCAGCAGCTGAAAAGAGTCGAGATCTTCCAGAAGGCAGCATCGAAGGGGCTTTGGAATGAGGGAAACTAGATAAAGTTACTCCGGACCCGCACGCATTTCACGGTCACCAGTGACAGCACTGTGAATGGCTGGGCCCGTTTCCAGATCGCACAGATGGTCGCATGACGCGGTTGAGAGGATATTAAATTGAGATGAGGCGGGTTGGCGACTGGCTCGAAGGGATTATTAGATAACGTCGAGTGCATGACGGAAACGACGCCAATGCCAGCGGGTGGGCCGGCGCCCGGTTAGCCCGCGCCAAGCATGTCGACGACAGCGACAGCAGCAACTCTGCGTGCAGTGACGATTACTCGATACGGCAACCAGGCTGCGCAGGGCAGAACAAATGCAGAAGGCGCACTGCGTCACTCTGGCCGCGTCTGGCCGTCACCCAGGGCAGTCGCGACCGGCCTGCGGCTCAGCGAAGCAGACGTAAGCGGCAGGCGCGAGGGACAGCAGCGGCATCCTGGATTCGGGGCTATCGCGCATCGGCGATAGCGCCTTCCCTGCAGCCATTCCCTGCGCGTTCTCTTATCAGCAAGCACATGCACGCCCCCAGAGTAGCACTGGCCCCCCGTCCAGCCGATAGCAGCCTGCCCAACAGGGTAGGTGATCGTTCGCCGTGTCAGCCAGCCTTATCTCGGGCCCTCCGTCTCGCCACCCATGGCTGCATCCTGGCGCCTCTCCTGCCCGTGCGTTTTGGGGGACGTTTGTGTCTGCGTGATTTCAGCCCGCTGTCCCAGCACTTAGTCCTTCCATATAACTGGGGTCCGGTCCAGGGTGCATCGTCCTGCTGTCCCTCCTTGCTTTCCCCTCTCAGTCGCTTTCTTCGTTCTCTTGATTCTTTCTCGTGCGCGCTCTCCGTCATGGCTGCGAAGGACTACGACGCGGAGAAGAAGGCTGCCGACGCGGAGCCCCAGAGCGTCTCTGCCTCTGATGGCGAGACGGCCGAGGGCACCGTCAGCCCCTTGAAGCGCAATCTTCATGGGCGCCACATGCAGATGATTGCGATCGGTAGGTTGCGACGTCGTCCGGCCCGTACACGTTGGTCGCTGACTCTCTTAAGGTGGTGCCATTGGTGCTGGTCTGTTTGTCGGTACGGGTGGTGCTCTGTACTCTGGTGGACCTGGCTCGCTGGTATGTTGTCCTCTGTTCAAGCCCTCTTCCTAAGAAACGTTACGGTCGCGCTCACCGTCTCCAGCTCATCGCTTATCTCATCGTCGGTGTCATGCTTCTCCTGACCATTCAGGCTTTGGGAGAGTTGGCTGTCCTCTATCCAGTCAACGGGGCATTCTTTACATACTGCCTGAGATTCATCGATCCTTCTTGGTAAATCTTCTTGCGCACAACTGGAGGCTTTGATACACTGACATCTTGCCCCAGGGGTTTCGCCGTCGGCTGGGACTACGCTCTCAACTGGCTCACTATCCTGCCCTTCGAAATCACTGCCGCCGGTATCACCATTCAGTACTGGAGGGATGATATCAACATCGGGGTTTGGATCACTGTTTTTCTCGTCGTGCTCAGTGCGATCCAGATCTTTGGAGTAAGAGGATACGGTGAAGGTGAGAAGGAGATCCTCCACGACCTTGGAGCGCGCTGACTTGAGTCCAGTGGAGTTCGTCCTCAGTCTCATCAAGATTGTTGCGCTCACCGGTTTCATCATTCTGGGCATCGTCATCGACTGTGGTGGTGCGCCCAAGGGCGGATATATTGGCGCGCACTACTGGCATGATCCCGGTGCCTTCAAGGACTTCCGCGGCTTCTGTTCCGTCTTCACGACGGCTGCATTTGCTTTCGCAGGCACCGAACTTTCCGGTCTGGCTGCCGCCGAATCAGCGAACCCGGCCAAGGCTCTCCCGAAAGCCTGCAAACAAGTGTTCTGGCGGATCCTGATCTTTTACGTCCTGGGAACTTTCATTGTCGGTCTGATCGTTCCGTCCAACGCCGATTATCTGATGGGCTCCTCGGGATCAAACACCAAGGCTTCTCCGTTCGTCATGTCGATCCAAAACGCCGGCATCAGCGGTCTCCCGTCCGTGATGAATGCGGTCATTACCATTTCGGTCATCAGCGTCGCCAACTCAGCCACCTTTGGCTCCACGCGGACGATCCAGGCCCTGGCCAGTAACGGCATGGCCCCCAAGATCATGTCGTACATTGACAAGAAGGGCCGTCCCGTCTTTTGCGTGTTGCTCCAGATCGCCTTTGGTTTCCTGGCGTTCATCAACGAAGCGAGCTCCACTGGCGATGTGATCTTCAACTGGCTTCTTGCTTTGTCCGCCATCTCCAATTTCTTCGTCTGGGGCAGCATCTGTCTCGCCCACGTCCGGTTCCGCGCCGCCTGGAAGGCCAACGGCCGCAGCGTGGACGAATTGGCGTACGCGGCCCCGTTCGGGGTCATCGGCAGCTGGATTGGCTTTGGATTGAACCTCCTCTGCCTGATTGCCGAATTCTATGTTTCCATTGCGCCCCTGGATGCCTCCACCTTCTTCCAGAACTACCTCGCCGCCCCCCTCGTCATTGCTCTCTACCTCTTCTGGAGGATCTACTCTGCCTACACCAAGGACCCGAGAGTGGAGAAACGCGGCTGGAAGCTGTTGCGGTCGATCGATGAGATCGATGTTCTCAGCGACATGCGGGATACGGCCCTGGACGCCGATCTGGAGCCACGAAAGAAATACGACACCTGGGGCGAGTGGTTGAAGGCTGCGCCGATGAGAGTCGTTCGTTCCATATTTTAAGACGTGCTGCGAGGCGTCCTGCCATAACTGATTCTTCTCGTTGATAGTAGATTCAAAATTGTATAATGTAGATAAATTATCACATATCCTAATCCATTATTTAGGTTGTGGGTCAAGTTTATTACAGAGGCCAAGACTAAGTCAAGGCCTTCTCCGTACATAGAAATTCCCCAATGCGCTAACTAAACCCTAGTATCCCGGACAAGCTTTCTATGCGACATTGAAGGGAAGCCTGAGTTTTCGACAAATAAAAAAAAATATCACCCATTCACAGATCCTAATCCCCACCAACAGGAATCTGCTATACTTGGTATTCACACATCTATCGTTTCCAGCCAAGCTCAATTGCGTAAAAAAGAAAAGTAAAGCATACTACCTAGTAAGAACATTACATAGGTATGTTAGAAAAGCCATAGTGACTTATCACTAATATTTTGAGGCAGCCAGTAACTGATTAAAATACTTGAAAAGGAATTTTAACCATCTATAAATATACTGCGTAGAGTGAATAAGAACAAACATTCGCCCTGGAGTGCATATTAAGCTTAGGTAGGTAGGTAGTGAATGATTTTTTTTTTACCAGTGCGCGCGGATTCACCTCACCTCGTATCGTCAGATTAGGTACAGTACATTACTGGAGTACTACTACTTTTGGAGACAGTTCTCTGTCTCTCTTCCCCTCCTTCCCCTCTTAATTCTTTTCTCTTCTCTAGCTCAAACATCTACCCCAAAAATCTATCTTTCCTCTGATCAGATACTTTATTCAGGTAGACAGAATCCTGAGATCTATCCATATATATACCCAATCTCGTTGGATATCCTTTCTTTCTATGCTGTACTATCATCAGCAACGATGAGCTGAGCTGAATGTCAGCTTCCGTGAAGCCGTCAGTGAAAGAGAAAAAAAATTACTTATATTGTCCTTGCGATGACGACTCGCATTCGGACCGAACAGGACATAGAAAGAACTCTCCTGCCTTCCTTCCAGCAGAATAGTACATTATCAAACTATATTCCTGGTTGGGCCTGGCGACTGACTCGCTTTCGACAGATCCTAGAAAGGGTGCGTTTCGTTTCCTGCCTTGTTGAAGACTCGTTATGGTTCCATTATTTTGCTGGTTGTGGAGAGGTTGGTCTATGCGATATCAGATAACAACATTGTGGTGAGACGGCTATCCTGAGGCCAGGATCATACTTGTCTTCTTCTTCTGCATTTTCTGCTCAAGCATCCAGCGTTTCTTCCTCGTCTCTTACGCATGCTTATTCTGTGCTTTTGTTGTTATCCCCTTGTAATAAATACTCCACGTGCATCTTTCCAAATTCTTTGTCTGAGCTCGAAGATTCCTCAATATCGACTTGGAACCAGTTGCCGGATATAACAATGATTTCACAGGTCGTCGCCAACGAGAATGACGAATATCACCAACACCTCCAGTGGTGGGGATGCGACCAACGGCTGTACAAATGGACCAAATTTCGTATCGCTTTGCAACACCACACTCAGGTTGCCTGGCCCCGCGGCTTTTTCCCTAACATCTGCGCAGACAGCCACTTACTCTGATATTATTTCCCCTCACATACTTCCTTTATACACTGATGTCAAACACGATCCTAAATTTACTTATGCTGAGTGCACCTTTAATGACCTTTTCAATGAGGGCTCCTGAATTTGCATCGATTTTCCATGATACCTTTTACAGACGAGGACGTCTTTTTTATTTTAACAAAAAGGGGGGGGGGGGGGGTAATGTTATACTGCTCCGGCATTCCGCTGTCCTTTACCACCTGCGGCTCCCTACATCTATCTCAGATAGCTCCGTAGTTAGATTACCCTACAATTAATTGCTGTCATCATCAAATCATCGAGTAATCCACGGGGTATCAGTGTTGCCCTTGCTACAACCAAATTGGCATATGAATACTATGATCATGGCTATCTCCATGATGGAGAGGCTCTACAACACACTTCTTACCCAAGCATTGAGACCAATACTCGTCTTTGTACAGTACAGCTTCGACGGCCGCTGTCAAGATCCTTGTCCGACTTCTTTGCTGAGGTCGTTGAAACGCTGGGTTTTAAGGTGTCTTGTTCATGGAAACTATCTAGTAATCCACGGTCCCAAAACGAATGTTTACGTCTAAGCTTGCAGACTATGTGGCTGGCTGCAGGTAATACTCCTCGACTTATCGCTACCAGAAGATAGATGCCTTGGAAATACAAGCCGTTCATAAGACCATGATCGGTCCAGCTCTGTTCGAATTGCTTTCCTGAAGCTACGCTATCCAAATCTCTGCAAAGAGCCTTCATGCTGTCGTCAGCATCCTTATATCAGACCAGCTGACCAAACTACATGCAAAGGAAATATCAGATTAGTTGTTGAGGCTGGACCCAGCACCCACTGTTACAGTGGATGCCGTCTATCTCCATTTAGTCGCTACATTGGTAGCATGTCTTCAGGCACGGATTGAGCTACTTCTCTCTGCCTCGATCTAGGTCTTCGGGTTCTCCAGGACTGTTTCTTCCCCACTGAAGATTGGGTTCTCCATCTTCGTCTTCTTTGTTCCTCTTTCTCATTGACGGTTAGGTACTCCATTGTCAATTTCTTATCCTTCCTTCACGCTTTTAGTAAAAGATTGGGCTCTCTATCAATTACTAAGACATCTAATCGTATCTCCTTTCCTTTTTTTGCATTTCTTACAGGTCTTTTTTAGGGCCGACCCTTCACGTCCTTTTGGGATCACCTTTCTCCTCAAACGTCCTAAGGAGGGGTACTTGCCAATTTAGGAAACGGGAAGCCCAAAGGAGTTCCTTCCTAATTAGGTACCCTCATGACTACCCCTATTCCTTTGTCTTCTTCAATCTTCCATCTGGACACTTCAAGTCTTGGGTGTCGATTGTCTAGAAGTCAATCCTTTTCAAAGGACCGGATGTCAGGAGTCAAGGTTCTCCTTCTTCACCACCATACCCTGCTGATTAGGTTGTGGACCGGGCAGCAGTACGGAAGGCGTTCCTTACTGTCGCGGTATAATCGTGTACCTTGACGGACCCGAAGCAAGGACGGTCCATCCCGTCACATGGTCGATCCATCATATCACGTGTAAAGGTTCGACCATATCTTGTATGTAGTAGGAGCTTCCAATAATAGATCCTCTATCAAGCTTAGCACCTAATTCCATGGATCCTCCATTTAGCTGCCACATTGGTAGCATGTCTCTCTGACTAGGATTGAGGTATTCTCCTAGTCACGATTCAGGCCTTCGGGCTATCTAAGGCCTTCCTCCCCTTCTGAAGAGTGGGTGTTCCATCTTCGTTCTCTCCTTTCGTTTCCTCACCGGCGACCGGGTTCTCCGTCATCATTCTCTCTGGTATCTCCATCAAATTTTCGGACTTCAATCGGGTTTTCCATTGAATTTCTGTGGAACACTCATTCCTTCTATCTGCTCCGTTCCTTATTCTCGACAGCTTCTCCGAGGGCCATGTAGCCATGAATCTTATATCTTCCGCGGCTTTTCCAGATACATGTACGTATAGCCGTCCGGCGATCCAGACAGGAGCTACATAATGAAACTCTGGTAGGAGATAGTCACGATGACAGGTACTAAATAAAAAATTGTCTCAGATGGAATGTCGTACAATCGTCAATAGGACGAGTACCTGTAAGTTCTCCTCAATCCGAGGCAGCGTGAGGCTGCTGGTACTTAGCCCTAATCCAATGTTGATTGCTGCCTCAGGCAAATTACCTCGACATTTCTACACATTTCCTACATAATCCTGCGAAATGGGAATTATATTGCATCAGACAAGAGTGTATTCTATGTACTACATACATATGTATAGATACCAATAGGTGTGGGTAGATAACTATGAACAGGGGTTGAACAGTGGTTGAACGGTGGTGACAGTGACAGTAACAGTGACAGTTACAAACAAAAGATGGAGACCAAAAAAAAAACCTCTCATTCCTTCTCTCCAACCAAAGTGACGCCAGATTAGATTAATACACGGAAGAAACACAGACAGACAGAACAGAACACAGAAGAAGAAACAATCCATCCTCGACTTGTTCCCTCAGAAAAAAAAAATTTGTGCAAAAGACAGACTTCGTTTATGTCCAATCCATATCGTAACATCCTGCACTGCATGACATAAAACTGGAATCAATATAAAAACAATCAATCGAGAATTCCCCCAATCGGATCCCATGACGTAAAACCCAACATTATACATCATCATCCATGCATGTCGTACCCGTTGAAATCATTCATTCAATCAACCATCATACCGGCGTATATCATCGTCCGTCACTTCGCCTCGTCATCATTCCTCGTCCGTCAACTGGTTCAGTAGGCTGATGCTCAGGATCATCACGAGCAGTCCGATCGTCACGACCACCAACAACCCAAAGCCAAACCACCCCAGGATCATCGCCGACGTGCCCACGCCACTCTTGACGCTTCCGTTCCCCATGTCCTGCGCTATCGTACTCGCCGCAACGGACGCGGTGTGCTGCCACAATACCGACACGAGAACAAAGACCGCCGCCACAAATATCAGCGCTAAAGCGACCTGCGACACCGGCCGCGATGGGAATGGTTTCACTTCCCGTTCGGATCCACTGGCATCGATCTCCTCGTGCCAGCCGGGGAAGGTGGCGAGCAAGACAAAGCAAAAGAACGCGAGGACAATGGCGACGATTCTGCAACAGTCAGCGTATTGTCAGATTGACACTAACTGATATACTCACATCAAGTACGGAAAAACAACCGCATCCTTAAACGTCGACGCCACCCAGATCAGATTCAGCGGATCCTGGTCCACATTGACAACCTCCGCCAGCGCCGTGGCGTTGGCATTGCAGATGAACGAGCCTCCATCGGGAGAGACGCAGATGCCAAAGTACCCCACTCGAACTTCAAGCTCCGCTCCTCCCACAATGTTGGCGATGGCGTTCACCACGCCCGGGTCCACCTGGGCCGGATTGAAGTTGGGCGCATACTTGGTATAGTAAAGAGAGATGAGGAAGATACTGGGAATTTGCGGAGAAGAAGACGAGCAGCCGGCGAGTAGGAGAGCTGAGAGCCAGTCAGTTATATCCCAGGTTGGTTAGGCTGAAGCCACTTACAAAGCAGGATGATAGCAAGGGCGATGAATATCATCAATACATGGTGGTATCCGACCAAGGTTATGAACCCTAACCGGAATGTCAGCTCGTCCTTCAGAGACAATCTCAGACGACTACCACTTACTCGACCATCCTGTGGAGAATTGTAACGCCATCCCCGGCAACCTTCAGCACCACCCAGCGGATGGCGATCCTCCAATTCTCCTTCCGTCACACTCTGACCTCGCTTCTCGGGCCTCCGAGAAGGAGTCTCTCGATCCGTGCTTCTCGCTCAGCACGAGCCGTGCGCCACCACTCGAATCAACCCGAAGCGACAATGGGAATGCGAAGGAACCGTGGTCGCGGCGAGAACAGGGTTGACAGCGGCGTGTGGAATGTGGGTTCCGTGGTATGCAGAGACAGGAATGTACCCGGTACTTCCTTCGAGGGTATATAAGGCGTGGACCCTCGAACTTTTTCTCGGTTGAAAGGTGGATCGTCCGTATGTACAGAGCACTCCAGACCTGTGCAACGTAGAAAAAGAGTCAATATCGTTCCCAGAAGGGCTCAGGGAAGGAGCAAATGCAGTGAATGAAGGAGGGTAGGAAAAAACAGAGGCAGGCAGGACGAGGAGGGAGAAAGGAGCGTAGCTTCAACAAATCCTTCAGGACCACGTCACACCCACTAAGCGACGTGCAGTCCGTCCCTGAGGGCGACTCGCAAGTATCACCGCCGTCTGTGATTGAGGAGGACGGGCATGAGGTTCGTCGACAATGGCGATCGAGGTGGCTGGAGTCGCAGCTGGGGAGGCTGGGCCAACGATCTTTGTTTACTGCCGCCGTTGGCCGGGAACCCGCCCCTCACCGCCCGGCAGAACCCCGATCGCCCTAGCCAATCAGGGCTAGACGCCGGGATATGGCGGGGCGGCGGGACGGCGGACTTGGCGCGCCAACATGTGACGTCGGCCCAGTCTGCCGCCAATAATAGGAAGCGTCTCCACGTGAATACGATCAATGGGGAACAGAATACTCCGTAATTGCTCATCACTATCTATATACGCCTGAATAAACCAAGTAATTCCTGACCTGTCTCGTCCCAATGATGACGCTCCAAACAATACAAGAAAACCCAAGACAATACAAAACCTAAACGCCTATGCAATGCTTTCCCAGAAAGCGTCTCGAAAAAATATGCTACTTCGGTGTGAACGCGAACCGCTTAAGATCCAAAGCTGGGCGACGGCTATCACTGACCGACTCCCCCTCTTCTTCATCGCTGCAAGGGACAAGCAGGTCTTCACTTCCTTGAGGCTGATTCTTTGCAGCCGGCGTGGCTTCTCGAGAGCTGCCTCCCGCGAAATCGGATTCATATCCAGAATCTCGCGTAGCAGCAGTCAACATTGTGCGCGCGCCAAGATTGTCCATCGATCTCGACTTGGTCAGCGCGCTCTGGCCGAGTCTTTGCAACGGCGTGAGCCGGCGACGGTTTCCTGGTTTGCCCTTGGATACGAATCCCGCAGGACTCGCCGACGGGGTCGTCGAGGTTGCAACGGCGTCTTGGGAAGCGCCTCCGGAGGGTGAAAAGGCGTATTTGGAGAGCAGAGATGCATTCTGCTTTTTTACGTGTGCCTCCAGGACCTGGTTAAATAGTTCCGGGTCTGTGTCCGGACTGACAGACATGGCTGACGTTGCTGGGGATGTGTCTTCCGCGGGAGAGACAGTCGAACCGCTGTCGACATCAGTACTAGCAGCATCCTGAGATTCTGATATCTTTGACACAGGCGTCTCTATGGCAGAGGGACCCTCAGGCTTCTGCACTGCTGTTCCCTCGTCTGCCTTGGGCGGCTCTGCACCACTCCCGCCGGCCTCGCCAGACTCGGCAGGTGCCTGGAATTCAGAAAATTGACACATGATTTCTTCTGCAACTTCATCAGAATATACTCCGAAATCAGACCTCCGTGATTTCTTGATTCTCGCCAACTTCTGCCCGCTCGGACTGGGCTCCGCACTGTCCGCAAAGAAGCGGCTCCGAGATTCCTTGGATGAGGCTGGGAGACTCTCGTCGTCCGCATCGGAACATAGTCTCTGCCGTTTTGCTGCTGGAACCGTTGACACCCTACCTGCACTGGCTAGGAAGGATTCCCTTTCCACTGTCCGGACCATTGGGCTTGCAGCAGGGCGTGTCTGGGGAATGGAAGATACTGATCGGGGAAGACTGGGTCCCGTCGGTGCCGGACTGGCTTCCCACGAGTTATTTGCATGGCGCTCAAGAAGGCGTTGTTGGCTTGGCGATGGTGTAAGGCTGTTTGGATCGAGCTCAGCAAGGGGCACTCGTTTGGGCGTGAAGAACGCGCTGATGGGCTTGTTCGACTTAAGCTCCGCAGACGAAGCCAGCGTCTGTCTCCTTGTTATGCCAGGAGCCTTTGTCGTCAATGACGGCTTCAAATTGATAGGCTCCTTTGTCATTGGATCAAGATCTCCACAGGCGACGCCAATTGCGATCTCCGGATCAACGTCTGCTCCAATGAAGGGCATCTCTTCCACGTTGACACTGCCGTCCAAAGGGGTGAGGGTCACAAGCCTCTGAGCCTTGGGACAGAACACTCGCTGGTAGAGAAATGTAAGCTCTGCCTGCTTGAACTTTTCCAAGTAGTCTGCGGGAATTTGGTATTGTCCTTCAAATTGGAGGACCCGGAGGACCTTCTCCACATTCTTGTATTTCCGAATACTGCGGTAGGCGGTCTTCAGTCCCATCTTGGGGATGCTGGGCAGGTAATCACATCCGCTAAGAATGCACATGCGCCGGAAGTCCGCATCAGTCCATCCAATCAGGCTGATATCACGACAGGAAGTGAAGTCTGCACGGTTGATCTCAATGCATTCACCATGCTGGTCCAATTTGGAAAGGAGACGTTTTGCGCCGAAGACCAACAGGTCCGAATCCTCCGAGATGATGCCGTTAATTATGCCCTGACGCTCTAAATACGCGAGTTGAGCGTCGGCCTCGTATGGCGCCACCACGTACTGGACCTTCATCTTTTTCAATTCCTCGATCAGCTGCCGTGCCATGTACGGCGTGACATCGACCGCCTTCTGAAACTCCTGGTAGGCCTCGGACATGCGGCCCTTATTGTATAGCTCCAGGGCCAGCTTCTTGCTCTCTTCCCGTTTCTTCAGCCGTTCTGACTCCGTCCCAGCCTTGCTGGGAAGATGGTCACCATCAAACACCAGATATGGAGTGACTCCAAAAAAGAGGAGCATGCGGACACGGTTCAAGACGAATTCAATATGCCTATACCAGCTCAGTGACTGCGTGATCTGGAGCAGCGGGGTGAACACACTTTACCGTGGGCCTGTCCAGGGCCAGGTCCATGGCACAGGCGACGGTACCTCGGTGAAGCCATCCGTAAGCGTCGACACCAAGGGTCTGGCCGCTGAACTTTTTCAAATGGCATGGTTTCTGGATCGACTTGAGGAGAACATGAAGCCCTGCAGTCTGTTAACGCTGCACTGACCCGTAGTTCAGGACAGCCTACCTTTGATACCCATCTCAGGCCCCTTCGCGAATCACGTCGCCCTTTCTCTCTTGTTTACATGGACAACGCGAACATTTATTTAGTATACTCAACAGCGTCAAGCTGGGAAGAGCGATAATGAATACTGAATTGCAACACCAGAAGAAAGGGAGAAGAGTATATCAAAAAAGAACAAAAAGAAAAGCCCTCCCAGCCAGGATCACAGCGGCCTCACTGCCTTGGGGATCTGGGGCATGCCAGAGGCGTCTCTCCACGACGCGCCGACGCGACGCTCGGCGGAGCTCCCGGGCGATCATCTGATTGGCTCCCCACCGCCTCCACTGCTTCCTTCCTCACCGCCTTCATTCTGCTGGTCGGAAAAAAAAGTAATCGAGGTATCGTTGAAGATTAAAAGGTTTTATTTAAGCACCTTATTCCTATAAATCTGGCGATTACAAACTAAGAGACCAATATACAAACTAAGAGACCAATATCAACCGTCTCAAAATGACGAAGAGCTTGTACAAGGTGCAGAAGCAAATCTCCAAAAAACGCGGTGGCAAGCTTAACGCCCTGCACGAGGACAGCCGCGATGCGAAGCGGCTGCGACGAGCAAGTGCACGCGAGGACCGGCTGGCCCGTGTCGCCGCAGAGATGTCGAAGGCGCGACAAGGCTACTGTACGTATCCCAGGCAAGATTCGAGTTGGATGTGTCTGACATGATGCGGAGTGACCGGCTGACCTCTCTTCTCGTAGTGGACCGGATCGCCTTCTTCCAGGAATGCTTGAAGGAAGCCACCGAGCCCGTCTCCATCTCCGACGCTGACATGGCGGCGTTTGTGAACAGGTGTGTGCAGCGATTTACCTCCCCATGACGCAATTGGCATTTACGCTAATTCCTGAACAGGTACATCCATCGCAGTGATTCAGAGATCGAACAGCTGCAACAAGAACGACGAAAAGGCCGGCCGCCCAGCAAACGAGAGGACGCGCTTGTCCAGCGGAGGGGGATGGACGAGAAGGAGTTCAAGGCAGGGTTCTGGATGCCCGATCTCACCCAGGAGGATGTGCGAACATTTCTCATGGCGTGGAATGGCGACTGGTCTAGTTTGAGCTCAATGAAGTTCATCCGACTTTCGCAGGACGGGATTAAGCACGCTTCGAGTTTTCCGCCTAAGGGCTTGTCATGACGATTTCACAGCATGGCAGTTACTTTCATCGTTTTTCTTCAGTTATGATTTTTTTTTTCTGGTTATGAGGTTACGCTGTATATGACGCTACTGTAGATAGATAGCATTTCATGGGTTTTCCTGGCATGAAAAATCGACGATTCAAGCTGGAACAAAGAGCTTCCATCAGACAAGCTGATGCCGCGTGCTGATTGGCGGATGCGCGAGTGCCGCTAAGGCTGCTTTCTTGGCGTCTCCCAAAGTTTTCTGGAACGGCTAACATCATCACTCGCCTCTGCCATTCCAAGCTTCACCTCCTCTCACCTCCTTTGTCTCCCATTCCATCCCAGCCTCGTGTTTTCCACGACTCCTCCACCATCTCCATTCAAGATGCTGTCTCTCCGAGCCTTTACGCGCGCTGCGCCTCGCACCTTCTCCCGCTCTTTGTCCACCGCGGCCCGGCCTGCTGCTCGTCCCCTGTCGGCCGCCATCCAGCGACCCAGTCTGCTGGCTTCGACCCAGAAATCCATTGCTAAGCAGGCTTATCCGGCTTTCTCGACGGCACGGATCCTGCGGGAACCGGCTGGCGAAGGTATGCCTTTCTTTCACACTGCATGGAGCTCAATTCCACGAAAATGAAAATCTTCCGGACGAATTGCATTGACTGACAGGTTGTCCGCAATAGGTGATGTCGAACTCATTGCCAAGTTTGAAGAGGAACTGAGACACGAGAAAGCCTCTGGACTTGACGGATTGGAAGCGTCCGTCGAGAACGTCAAGCTCCTGCTCGAGAATGGCCCTTGGGAGGTATGGCGATGCTGATGGTGTACATATAAGGCTTTAAATTTACGATACTGATCGTTACTTCAGGTGAAGGATGTTCCGGGAGAGCAGGAAGTTGTGTTCAGCCGGAAATTTGGCAATGAAGAGTAGGTTTCTTCACAGTACGAGTCGAAGTATGGTGTTGTATTGACTCTATCGACTCTAGCATCCGTGTCACTTTCACCGTCGCCGATCTCCAGAACGTCACCGAGCAGCCCGAGTTCGATGACGCCCTGTCCGATGAGGCTGATTATGCCGACCACTCCCACTCCGTGAACCAGAGCCGATCGGGCCAGGGCAATGTTGGTGTCCACCCTGAGGACCGCGTCTCGCCCGCCGACCGCGAGTATGACGAGTTGGGGGAGCCCAGCTTCCCTGCGCGCGTCAATGTGACCATTGAGAAGCCCGGCGCCGGCGCTCTGCTGATCCAGACCGTTGCCCAGGATGGCGTCTTTGAGGTCGAGGAGGTCTCGTACTTTGCCAAGCCTGATCTGGCCCACGCTCAGACGGCCGAGAAGGACTGGACTCGCCAGAGCCTGTATGCCGGCCCTCCGTTCGAGAACCTGGACGAGGACCTGCAGAACTACTTCGAGCGCTACCTAGAAGAACGGGGCATCAACTCGGAGCTCGCCAACGTGATCCCCGACTACATCCAGGTCAAGGAACAGAAGGAATACGTCCGCTGGCTCGAGAGTAAGTAGACAAGCAATTCTCTAAATTGGCAGCTCACTAACCTCTTGATAGATGTCAAGAACTTCGTTGCCGCATAAACTTTTTCTCTATACCCTTGACCTCTCTCATCTCTCCTCTTCGACTTTGTTTAATTTATTTCCTATCGTCACGACCCCTGACATGTCCGTATCTGGCTCATTTGCGTTCAGATGTGAACTGGATTTAAATGAGCAGATAGACTGTCAGGTCTGAAGACATGTATGTATTATAGACGGCTTGATTATGGATATCTGCATAATGGATATGAACTATAACTGCTAGTACTACACTAGTATTCCGTACATATTTCGTATCCCGCAAGTTAAGGTGGCCTCAACATACCTGGTATGACGGCTGTCATACGAAACCACGTCAATTCTCGGCTACTGATTTAAACATTCACTCGAATTGTATCCTTGTTGCAGACTCGGGGAAAGGATGCCATGACATGTGCTTAACGAGTCTGCAACATGTTGCGTTCGAGATTCTCACTGAAACCGTGCTACTCCTGGCTCATTCAATGGATGACGTGTCCAGGAGCATGCAAACACTCAAGCTCTACTTTACGACACGGTCACTGGCTCTTTCGTGTAAGAACAGCAATGAACGGCTCAAAGCAGGAACAAAACCACACTGCATCGTCTGGATGGAATTGTAGTAAGTGTGTACGGAGTATTGTTTATGGAGTAGTGGGGCTGCTGGACAAACCCCAGAACCCCACGTTCGGCATCGGAGAACAGCTGCTGCCTGTGGAGGTTGCTGATTGTGTTGGCTCTCACTGGCTGCATGGCCAGGACCAGCTGGAGCTCTTAAATATTCATCCATTGACGATGTGGCTATTATTCAGGCGACCTCAGGGGGGATTCTCCGATGAGGAGGGAAACTCCCATTTAACCTATCGCCCACTCTCATACCGCTTGTTCAGAAGCTGGACAGACAGGAATCTCACCTCTGCAGCTCGATAACGCAGAAGAGTTCGGTTTGGGGTCATTGACAGCTTCTGTGTATTTTCTGCATTGCAGCTGGTTAACTTGTGATCCTTTGATTCGACAACCAACCGCTCTTCCACCACATTTACCTACCTAACTTATCATTGTCGACCCCTCCAGAGGGGTATAATACGCATCCCCATGGCTCCCTCCCAGACAAACGGCGAGCTTCAGAAGAAACAGAATGGCCCGATTGCAGCCTCGTCATCGCCCAAGCTGGAGGATCTCACGGCGGAGAACCTGACCGCGCATGTGATCAACATCAGCTCCAACATCTCCAACGAACGCGTCAAGTTCATCTTCTCGAAGCTGATCCAGCATGCACACGACTTTGTGCGCGAGGTCGACTTGCAGCGGGACGAGTGGGAGGCTGCGTGGCAGTTCTTGACTGATGTGAGGAACCTCATCGAGACGGGTTTGTAGAACTAGATCAACTGACATGACATGACTTGATTTGTTTCTGCAGGTCGGCAAAGCCTGCACGCCAGACCGCCAGGAGATGATCCTCCTGTCTGATATCCTGGGCATCTCTGCGCTCGTCGACACGATCAACTCACGCCAGGCACCCGGCACCACCGAGTCGTCGGTGCTGGGACCATTCCACAACGAAGCCCACTTCTTCGAGCACGGCGAAAGCATCTCGTCGACGGGCTCGGGCGAGACCATGCTCATTCGGGGTACCGTGAAGGACGTCCGCGGCAACCCGATCCCGAAAGCCTTGCTCGACATATGGGAGACGAACGGGAACGGGAAATACGACATGCAGGATGAGGATATCCACGGGCCGGACTGTCGGGGCAAGTTCTACACCGATGAGAAGGGCCGCTTCTACATCAACGGCGTGAAGCCGGTCGACTACCCGGTGCCGTTCGACGGGCCGGTGGGCGTTGTGTTGGACCTGTTGAACCGGCAGGCATACAGGCCTGCGCATGTGGTGAGCACTGTCTAACACTACATATTTTATATGATCCAGCACTAATGCGAGACAGCACTTCCTCATCACCCACCCCGACTACGAAAAGCTCAACACCGCCCTGTACAACAAAGAGAGTCCGCGCCTGACGCTCGACCCGGTCTTTGGCGCCAAGACCAGCCTGTCCAAGGACATCGTCTGGTGCGAAGACCTCGAAGTCGCCAAAGCGCACGGCACCAAGCCGTTTGTCCGGAAAGTTGACGGCCAAGACCGGGAAGGGTTCTGGATTCTGGAACACGACTTTATTCTGGCTGATAAGCAAGGGGAGAAGATAAGGAAGACGCATGACTAGACAAGAATATGGTCAGGAACATAATAATCTGCCAACACAGTATGTACTTTTCTGTACAAAGACATGCATTCGTCATCCGTTAACTATTCGCAAATATATATCATGATACCACATACCACATGCAACATACAACATTATGTACCCAGTCATCTACACCTACTACCTACCTACTCACTCTATCTCTATCTTGATGACAATTATAACGTAATCCACCACCGAGCTGGTCACACCACCGAGCTGGTCAGTCCTTGGCCAAGAGTTGCAGCCCAACGTGACCGAAAATCTTGAAGATTATTGCAACAAAATTTATTATATTTTCCTATATAAAACAAAAGGCACTATTTATTAGGACATTTAAGCCGATTATGGCCTTCTTGATTGCAATTACTGCACCTTGGTGGTCTCCGTGGTCGTCGAGATGATTCCTGCAGTTGCTCATGCTCTTGAGCTTTTTGCTGCCCTTCAGCACCTGTCAAGCTTCCCCCTGCTTGAATAAAATATCTAGATGCTTGTCGCTTTCTTTTTTGGCGTTGGTTTTCTGCGCG